GATATCAGTGCATGCTCACTTCCATCAAGCACTTGCACAGAATTTGCCTCTGCAAACATGTAAGCTATGCAAAACAACCTGCTACGCTGTAGCTTAAGTATATGCTACACAAAATATATTCATAAAGCCTTAGCACTGCAGCATACTTAGATCATTGCTAAAGTAGCAAATTTAGTGATATGCAAATGCCTATGCTTTCTAAACCACAAAAGCGATGCTTTTTTGAAGTTAAACAAAGATCTTTTGTTTGTTTGTGTGCTAGAGTGGCTTTATGATTTTCTCTTATATTCATTCTGATTGTGTCTTATCCCATTGTTTTTGTTCCGTTTTTCTTTAAAGTTACAATACATGTGATTTTTTTTATTTTTTTTATTCGTTTATATTCAGTGGTTTGTTTGGTTGATGTTTCCTCATTTATTCTGCTGATGAAAATGATGTGAGATTCTGTCACACAAGAAACATCAGTTCTATGTCTCAGTATTGGACATAAAGAAAATACAGGGTTCCTGTTAATTTTGTTGACTCGGTGCATCAAAATTATTTGTATTTCACCAACTATACATCCTAAATAAAATTCAACTTTTTTTAGTTCGAGTTACGCTCGCTCTGTGTTCCCCATGTGTTGCAGGAAAGAAGCATGTATCACTGTGATACTAGATTGTTGTTGATTCGTTTAGCCTTTTAATCACCATTTTGCAATGTGCCTCTGTGGATTTATTTTCAACATGCATTCACATTTGTATTTTCTTATTTTGTTTTATTTATTGCAAATTATTTCATACAGCTTCATTTTCAAAGTTATTTGAAAATAAAGTTATAAAATCATTTGTCGTGTGTTTGTTTGTTTGAATTCTTTACATAGTTGACCTGTATAGGTGTATGAGATTTACAGCTGAACAGTATGGTGGGTCAACAGTCACAGTAGTGCTATAATTAATTGTCGCTGGGTGGCACTGCCGCGCTTTTTAAGATTATTAATTGTACTTTGTGCTTAGCCCAGTTTGTAAACGTTAGACTAAATTTTAATAGTAACAACATTTTGTATATTGCATAAAAACAGTCTATACGTAAAAAGTACATTAGGAATTGTACATATATATACGTTTACACTTAACTGATTCATAACAGCAACAAAATGCGCAGATGGGATTCATGAAATATTAATGTTGTGGGAATCAAAGCTCAAACTGACAGTGTCTCTGCTTGCATCGTTTGGGCTCAGTGTCAAACGGCAATGACTTTTTTAACATTAAAATGCCACAGTAATGCAAATTTGATCTTTGACTATTACTATGAAGATCGAGGAAACTCATTTTCATTCTTGGTTAAGGAACAAAGAATATTCCCTAAATGTAGTTATGTCCTGACTATAGGCTTAATTAATTTAACACAGTGTTAAAAGGCTATACTGTTTTAAGAGAGAAACAACAGAACATTTTTATTTTAAACCAAACTAACATCACTCAACAACATTTATTTGTCTGATAAGGTTATTTTAATGATTCACATATGATACAATTAATTGTGAATTATAAAAACAATCACATCTCCTAAATGCGATTATTCAAGATTGACTATTTATTTAATTATTCAAGATATATTATTTTGTAAGTGGCGGGTAGATGTTTTCTGCACCTTCAGTGACCTTTTCTATTACATAATCCTCATATTTAGGACTGGGGGTGGAACACATTTGATATCTGAATATTGGTCTAAATACCCCCACAATATCTGTGGTTATGGTTCTGATTCTGATAGCCTATATATGCACGTGCATGACATGTGGAGTTAATTCATCAGATCTGAACGATTAATTCATATTTTTTTATTACTTGCAGTGTACCATCCAATCACACTCTTATCCTAAATGCTGTCTGCTAGGTGGCATAATTTATCATCCAAATCATCTCATGAATGGTTAAAATGATTTAAGAGATATTATTATAATTTATGATTGGTTTGAACCATTCAAGATTTGTATTGTTTTAACAAAGATATTTTAGAATCATTCATTAAATTTTTTTATGGATATGTATTTTTATGGTTGCCATGTATATTTGGTGCAAACCATGGTCATTTTTTAGATGCAAATTATTTTGCTCAACTTCAAAGTTGTCCGAAGTCAGCAGAGTTTTAAAAATACTGTGGGGAAAAAAATATATTTTGTGATGTAAATCTTTCAGACTTTTGTAATTGTGACGGGTGTGGAATGCGCTCTGCGATCTGTTTAGTCTCGAGTTCAACAGGAAACTACACTTCCCATGAACCCCTGCGAGCTATTGCTTCACTAGTTTCGTACTCGAGTTGACTATTCTTACAAATTCCGTCTCATGGACCTTTTTATTATTTAACATCACTCCCCGCTGCTGAGATGGCGGAATCTGCGTCTTGTCCGGTGTTTCGGCTGGGAAAACCGCGTTACGAGCAGGTAAAGAGTTTGCCGCGATGTTAAAGTGCATCTTTGTCTGGGCATCTTTGATGGATGGGCGTTGATAAACAACATATGTGTGGTCCTTTGCTTTGCTCCAGCACTGTACTGCGAAAGTCACCCATTTCTCACGCTTTTTTGCGTTGTGTCTGTTATAACATTATAACTGGCCGATGCAATTGCTCGTGATGAGCGTAAGAGAGGTTTTGGTAGCACCGTTATATTAGAAAGCGCTAAAGCATTAGATGCATGCCCAACAGCTTTTCTTTTTGAGACATTTCATTGATATCATCGATCCTTCCACTTTGTTTGTGACAGAGGTATGGAAATCTTGTCTGTGATATAGTAATTGTGGTGAATTAATCAGTGAGTTGCATTATTTTTACCCTACAATGATCTTTCCTTTCTTTTATATACTGTAATTATGTCACATCTATAAAGAATGAATGTTAATTCCTATTAACTAATGAAACATTTTGGATGAGCTGAATCCTGTAGTCCTATATTACTTTTGGATTTCTGTTTTATTTTTATAGAGTCGTTTAAAAGAATGTATCAAACTCCTGGATGATTTCAAGCAAGGGAATCTTCCTCCAGGAATTACAGATCTCCAGGTGAAATCTTGGATGTCTCAACAGATAACTTATGTATAGTACATGCAGAGGCGGACAGTAACTAAGTACATTTACTTAAGTATTGTACTTAAGTATGCTTTTTGAGTATCTGTACTTTACTTGAGTATTATTTTTTCTGGAAACTTATGACTTTAACTTCACTACATTTGAAAGACAAATATTGTACTTTTCACTCCACTACATTTCTATCAAGGTCCTCGAAAAAAAAAAATTATATTGTAAATGAATGCTGTTCTTTTGAACTGTTGATTCATCACAGAATCTTGAAAAAAAATGTATCAGTTTCCACAAAATATTAAGCCGCAGCACAGATGTTTTCTGCATTGTTAATAATAAGAAATAATAAGAAGGATTTCTGAAGCTTGTGATACTGAAGCCTGGAGTAATGGCTGCAGAAAATTCTGCTTTGCCATCATAGAAATCAATTATATTTTAAAATGTTATATTTCATAATATTACTATTTTTACAATTCTTCATCAAATAAATGCAGCCTTGGTCAGCATAAGAGACTTATTTTAAAAACATTGCAATTATATAGAAAGTTATAATTAATACTTAATATAATATAATAAGATGTGTATTATAGATGTCATTCTGGATGTGTACACCCAAAAACAGTGATTATTTATGCATGTGTGCAGCAGTTTGGTCATGCCATGAAATGAATAATAGAATTGCACCATACTAACATTGTTTAAAAATAAAGTAATACATATTCAGACAAATGCAAATGAGGTTATTTATACTCTGTTTTGATTTCTGAGTTCTAATTTGTTGTTGCTCTTTCTCTTATCTGGATGCATTTCACAGGCTATGTGCCATTTGGAACGCCAATCGTAAGTCTGCTTATAAAAAAAAAAAAATCAAAGTGCCACACAGTCAGAGCAAGTATGAGAGAAGGAAGCCTTGCCAATCATTATGCATCCAGTGTTGACACATCCAAATCCTTTAACCATAAGAGGTGTTGAAATCTGTATTGAGTTTCTAACGTCTGTAATAAACCTTTGTTTCTATAGATAGGTGTATATTATTAACCAGCATATTGCTGTATACCCAGCATGCTGTATACTCTCTTGCAGGTTGTTGGTCTTCTCCTTCCAAACCAGACTTTGGCCTCTACAGTGTTCTGGCAGGTAGAGTGGCTTGTTCCCATCATTTGAGTGCCTCAGTGCCAGGAAGCCTAAAGGCTGGCTCTGCATCGTCAGTATCCCAACAGCCTCTGTTTTACAGTTAGAAATAAATATCAGACTAAATTAGATTTCCTGTATATATATTTGACTTTTACCAGAAGCTGACTTCATAGAAAATAAAATCAATCATCATTATTTGAAAGAGGAATTCAACAATAATTAACCAATAATTAAAATGATTGTCAGGCTTATCAGGAATTTCTCTTCTACAGTGGCTTAACCAGAGTCACAACGCTTGTGTGAACTACGCCAACCGCAATGCCACAAAGGTACAGTCAGAAACGTTCTTTTAAATCAGGTCAGGTTTTTGAGGTTTAACTATTGCAATGCAGCTGCAGATGGTCATTCAGTGAAGAGTTCCTTCTACTCGATTCCATTTGAATGATCATTGTTGTGTCCTGAAGGCCAGACATCTGTCCAGCATCTGACTGTGGTTCACGACCTCTGAGTGTTTTTTCATTGCACAATGGTCTGTGGTACATTTGCTGCACCTGGATGTTGATAATTGTTTTTTCCCCCAATTTTATGTTTAGCCAACACCAACTTCAAAGTTTATTCAGGGATATGTGGGTGCCGTCACCAGTGCTGTTTCTATTGCAGTAAGTCAGTGATGTGCAAGTTTTGTTTGAGATTAATTTTGTGGGTTTTTTTATGTAAATGTTTGTCATTGTGTCATGACCTCTAAATAAGTGGTGTATAAATGTTTGCCCCCTTAAAATGTCTAATGCTTGATATGAAAATAATTTTTAAGAACATTTATTTATGATTATAAAATGTTTAATACCCTTTAGTGGTAATAGTGTGGCTCGTTCTAACACGCCCCCACATGTCTACGTCACAGTGTGGGAAGATTTGCATAATGCCGCCCAAATGTTCACGCAAAGAAAGAAGGCGTAACTTTTATTCTCACTGTAGTATTGTCTTTCACCGTGGACGAAGCGGAGTCCAGCACGGGGTCGTCACATGTGGTTGCCACAAGTCTCCTTCGTCGAATCCGCCGTCCTTTCCTCACTCTAGGCCTCCGGCCTCCACTCACTCAAGGCCGCCGTGTGTGACGCTGTGTTTCGTTGTGAAAGCGAAACTACTTTGTTTGGCCTTCCAAAAGAGGATACGACTAGAAATCAGTGGTTAAGTTGTATTTACAACACTGTTCCAGAACAGTTTAACCCAAATATTCAGATGTGTGCAGAGCGTTTTATGGAGGACTATTTCCTGATCCTGGTAGAGTAGACTACAATGCAGGCTGTTCTGACTCAAAGGCTGTAGGTACGTTTTTTATATTTTAAAAATTTGCCACTGACGATTCAAATGCGAGTTTTGAGCAGTGTAGCGTAGCGACTGTTGTTTGTCATTTCTCCGATCACAAATGCAGACGTGGTTTTATGTTTATGTGGCGCGATGCAACGCAACGCGTAAAAAGACAGTATTAGTCATTATAATCTGTAATTATGTCCCCACTGGATGCAACGAATGCCTCGTTTATAATGGGTTTTAATGTTTTTGTCTTGTTGCTCCGGCCGGGACAAGGCATCACAGTATGGTAAGGGGGCTGTACAGACAGATTAAGTAGAAGCAGAAAGACAAACATGAGCAGGACAGGGCTGCCATGACTTCCACATGATGCTCTGCTCTTTGTATTATATAATATTGTATTATGTCTCAATGTATAATTCATTTTTATATACACTTTTGCTACATCAATAGCATATTGATGGATTTTGTGATAAAATATTTACAAGTGGATGTAGCAGGACTGTGTAAAAGGCAAAAAATAAATAAGTTCACACTTTTATATAATGCAAAAATAAATAAATAAAAATATGGTAAGGAGCGTAACATTTCCGTCACACTCTTGAGATATTCGGCCAATCACAACGCACTGGATAGCTGGCCAATCAGAGCACACCTCGCTTTTCAGACCGATGAGCTTAGTAAAAATCGACGCGTTTCAGAAAGGCGGGGCATAGAGGAGAAACAATAATGTACAGTATGTGGAAAATAATGTTTTTTTTTACCTTAAACCGCATAAACACATTTCATTACACCAAAATACACAAAATAATGTTCTTTGTAGCAGCATCATATGACCCCTTTAACTTGTAAATCTCATTTAAATACCCCTGTAATATTCTGTTTTACTGTAGGTGGGACTGAATGTACTTATTGAGAAATCCAGCAAATTTAACCCTGCCACCAGACTGTTCATACAGAGGTTTATCCCCTTCCCTGCTGTAGGTATGTCGGTACACAGATACAGTATATTGCTTGACTCAGTCCCTCACTCTGTATTGTGTGAAGCTCCCCCTGCTGTCAGTATGAAAGCATAACACACACTACTATTCAAAAGTTTGTAGTCAGTAAGATTTTGTTTGAATGTTTTTAAAAGAATTCTCTTGTGCCCACAACTGATTTATTTGATCCATGATACAGTAAATTAGTAATATTGTGAAATATCATTACAATTTAAATTGAACTGTTTTCTTTTTTATTTATTTTAAAATGTCATTTATTCCTGTGATTGAAAAGCTGAATTTTCAGCAGCCGTTTCTTCACTGTCACATGATCCTTCAGAAATCATTCAGATATGCTGATTTGATGCGCAAACAACATTTCTTATTATTATCAATTTTGAAAACCGTTTTGTTGTTTAATATTTTAGTAGAAACTATGATGCATTTTTTTAAAATAAGAACATTATTATTAGAACAGCTTATGATCAGTTTAATGCATCATTGCTGATTAAAAGTAATAATTTATTTCAATCGTACTGACCCCAAACTATATTTTAATCAAGTACATTGCAGATTCAACTGTGAATTCTTAAAATAATAGACACACATCAGAAGGATATTAAATCAGGTTATTTTCTCCTATCTATGCGGTGCAAACTATATTAAGACGAGATTACCTTTCACAGAAACTGGATGTCATGTTTTGTTTAGCATGGATGCTCATCACTAAGATGTGTGTATGTTTTACTTCTCAGCCAGTGCAAACATCTGTAACGTGGCTCTAATGAGACACAATGAGCTGTCTGAGGGAATAGATGTGCTAGACAGCAATGGGAATGTAGTGGGATCCTCACGGATAGCTGCCAAACATGTACGTATGTTAGTATTACAGTTGGGACTCCCCACTTCAGTTGGTTGATATAATGGTTTTATTTTCAAATCAATGCAAGTAAAGCTAGTCATAATTATAAAGTCAAAATTGTATTCTTACTAGCCATGTTGTTACTTGAATTTACAAAAGTAGTTCTTTCCCTTTGTTCATAAATTGACTTTTTATTTGTATGCTGTTTTTTATTTATTTTTTTATCAGGCACTGATAGAAACAGCACTAACGCGAGTAGCGCTACCACTGCCAATCTTTGTCCTTCCACCAATAATAATGGCCTTCTTGGAAAAGTATGGAGTTATTTTTGCTTCAGTTGCATTTAAATTAATTCCTGAATGGGAATTAATTATAATTAATAATAATTCATTGTTAGAAACATTATAAATATATTATTAATTATAATTATGAATTACAATTTTACTTGTAATTCTTTAAATGATAATTCAATTATTGTTTAATAGCTACAAAAGCACAGTCATGAGAGTCTGTTCTTACTGTCCTCGACCAGGCTTCCTCTGATGCAGGCCCGTCGCAGAATGATGCTGCCTGTGCACAGTTTAGTATGTCTGGCTGTCTTTGGTCTGTCCTTGCCGCTGGCTATCAGTCTCTTCCCACAGATGTCAGAGGTACTGCAGCAATACCTGCATCATTTCTCCTCTTCCTCTACTGCAAACAATTGCTGCAGCAGTTTTAATTTGGTCTGTCGACCTCTTGCCATTAATCTTTTCGTGTGTGTGTGCTTTGAATAATAAATATTTTAGCAGGGAATTGCTTGCTAATCGTTCTTTGCTCCTCACAGATCGAGGCATCTCACCTTGAGCCGGAAATTGCCATGGCAACGGATTGCAAGGTGCTGACTTACAACAAGGGACTGTGATGAAAGAGAAAGAAGTTTCTCAGCTGTCTAAGATTGACGTGTAGCATAAGAGGTGCAAACAGTATTGAGGAGAAAAATGCATTCCAAGCAATAGTAACCAGCTAACCTTTTCCTTAACTGCTGAGCCATTTATCAGTTTTACAGAACTGTTTATAAAGTAATAATTACTGTATTTACCATTTTACTGACAACTATGACAGGGAGGAAACAAGGCCTTATATTAAATGATTTTATATATTAATAAATATTATATTCATGTTGATCAAACTAATTATGGGATAATGAGAGTAGTTAGGTACTGCTTTAAATTTTTAATTATTCTATTATATGGTCAGTGAATGTACTTTAATGAAAATGTAATTGCAATTAACTTTGTGTTTAGTTGCATTTCACACTTAATATTTTCCAAATTCCAGACAAAATGTAATTACTTGTTTTATGTGCACTTGTACAGAGTTTTCGTCCTTAAGTATTAACTTTTTAAAAATATAGCTATTGCAATATTGACAAATACATGTTTGAAAATTGAGACTTTTTGATATTTTATATTTTTGAGACTGTTCTGTTTAAACAATGAATATTTTTTATGGTCTGGGATTAACATTTAATAACATAATTTTTATAAATATATTTTTTGATTGCTCTGTTTGCTTTAACCATGATTTTGCCATTTACGTTTGAAAATTTGATTTTAGTAATTATTTTGTTTTAAAAAGTACAACAAAGTTCACCAACTTAATATCAAGACACCATGTTCTATTACCTTTACTCAAGTGAGAAGAGCTTATAAATAGGACATAATGGATACAAACAGCAGTATAAAACACAAGCATCGTCACATTTTCAAGCCATAAATGAACATTTCTCTCATCTCCCTCCTGCTTCTTATTCAACTGTTTGTGTTTCACAACAATCCTCCAGGTCAAAGGTTCAGGATTCAAAAAGGATGAGCAACATTCTTGACATTCCATCTGTTTTTCCAGCTTCTCCTTGTCTCTGAATTTCCATCACATAAATTAAGCAATGCAATATCCAGCAAAAGTAGATTATGAACCAGGAGCTTGCATCAACACAAACAGCTTCATATAAGAAAACTTCATCGGATTAGAAAGAGAATGTCTGGTTTGAGTGACAGTACCATTCAGTATGCAGAAAGTCACACTGTATGCGTATACATTCACAGTACAAAACAAGCATGGGTCAGACTTGAGCACATGCAACGGGCTAGTCTTTCCTTCCCATTCACAATATTATAATATTATATGGCTGAACATATAAAGTTAGACGATATCTTGCATATGCAAGAGCAATGCATTAATAGTGCAATATATATATATATATATATATATATATATAATTAGAATCCTTATGGCAAAGTTATAAATGGGTGCACACAAGACATTTTACGTCAATGTAAGCAAAAAGCTACATGACAAAAACTTCTCAACAAATGCATAAAAAGTAATGAATAGATAAAAAAAAAACCAGGCTAATTCGGATTACTGAGGTTATTCTTTGTGTAACATGCATGAGACTTGTGGGGTTTTGTTTAGATTAGAAGTAACATTTCCTTTTACGCTAATCTTGGACAAGTCTTCTTGTTGCTTCTTTCTAATCAATAAAACTGGCCTTAGACCAACCTCAAAGTGCAACTTCTATGAACACTAAATAAATGGCTAGACAAAAACACTGGGAGTGTGTGAAGGGTGCGAGTGTGGATGCGGATGATGAATGGGACACTCCACTTGAGTTTGGCCCAGGAGGAGTTCCTTCTCCCTGGATAAACACGGTCCGCTAATCTGCTGACTGTGGGAATGATAGAGCCTCAGGAAGGACAGAATAGAGTGAGCCAACCACAGAGCCGTTACACACCACAGAGAGATCTGCAAAGAGAGACACACCTAGGATAACACGTTACCATGTAAAATATGCATGTTTTGTTGAACTGCGCCACAGATCTCAGAACGAAAAACAAGTTACTTCAGTTGCTCTTTTACCTGCGCACAATTGAGCTCAGAGTAGAAAGAGGATGTCTCAACGTCCAGATAAAGAGGAACGGACTGTGACTCAGCACAACTGCAGAGACAGAGAATCATTAAATACATCACTAACAACATTATGTAGGTATTTCATTCATTCCTGAAACATGTGCACTCAACAGTATGCATTTTTAGACCATAGTTTTAGACCATAATCTATGTTAATCAATTCTCTAAAGCTGCTTTGAAACATTGTGAAAAGTGCTACACAAACAATCTTCATATCAGCTTATAGATTTAAAGCTTTGTGTACCTGTAGGCTCTGGTGTTGTGGTCTGTAACAGTGTTGCACCAGGACACCAGGCCCAGGGTGAGAGTAACACTGGCCCCTCCAGAGAGGAAGAGCACACACAGACTCAACAGCAGCGTGAGGAAGGCAGAGAACAGCGTGCTGCAGGAAAATGAAAATCAATGGATCACACAATTTACTTTCTGATACATATAAGGTTGGTCCTTATATAAAACATTAATTTAAATATTACTTAATATACACAAACATTAAAAAAGCATATTAATCTATCTCACTCTATATATAATTCATTAACATTTAAGTATTAAAAAGATTTAAACTATTGAATAATAGTCTATATTTAAAATATAGACAGCATAATTATGTTGTACTTATTTTAATGTTTTACATAATTTAATCATTAAAACATTATTAAATAATATATTTAAAATGTTTAAGTATAATAACTATTATAATTACATTAAACATTTATATTGAACTAATATAAAATATTTAGGTTAATTTCTTTGATATACACAAATATTAAATAGCATTAAGTTGAATATATATATATATATATATATATATATATATATATATATAAAATAACAAATTATTTAATAATAT